AAGATAAAGTTTTAGATGGTACTAAAAAATGAAATAGCTCCTTCGCTACATCTTGTATATATGATGGGACTGTGTTGTATCTAGTTTTGATTTATTATACTGGGGCTGGCAAGGTCTTGGTCCAAAGATATGATACAGCTGAAGTAACGATGTATCTTCAAGCATCTTTCTTTCCCCACTGTGGTGGATTAACTAACGAGCTACTTGTAAAACCCAGCTGCACCGAGTCAGCATGGTGCTGGATGTGGAGGGTCCACCTGAGCACTGTTGCCAACAGCATAAAGGGAGACATGGAAGGGAAGATGGCACGCTGTTGGTTCTCTTGAAGAAGCTTGGCACCCTTGCTCTCCTGATATGAACTCCGCTGTTTACATCATATGAGGAGTTTGGGTCTTGACTGTTGTGAGGAGGCATCACTGTTGCTGTGGTTTTCTTCAAGGGAGCTCTGGTCCTTCCTGAGAGGGTCACTCCCTGGCTCCACTGCAGATCCCTCGGGCAGCCAGCACAGATCCTTCACCCCACTGGCATAGACTTTCTATCTTCTACCACTGACCTTTGGGCCTTCCCAGTGCAGATCCTTGGTAGAGAGTTACACGAGACATTGTCATGGGTGCTAGACCTCTAGCTGGACTATTGCTGTACATTGTTGTAAGATCCAGGCCCTTAGCTGGATTCTTTGGTTCTCTAATGTGTGGCCAGATCTGCCACACTCATCTGCATTTCATTTCTTGGGTGAATATTACAAAATTATTATATGTCCTGTATGAAATATTTTCCCTTGTAAACCCTGACTACATGATCAATTCATTAGAAAACCCTATTTTTCTTCTATTTAAAAATATTTAAGGGGCCAGGGATATAGCTCAGTGGCATAAGCACCTGCCTGGCAAGTGTAAGGTCCCAAGTTGTACCGCAAAAAAAAAAAAAAAAAAAAATATATATATATATATATATATATATTTAAATAACAACTGTATATATTCTAAATGCATAACATGATTGAAGACATGTATACATTATGCACTAAATATGATAGTTAAATTAATATATCCAACACATAAAACACTCATACTTAGTGTGTGTGTGCACGTATGTGTGCATCCATGTGTCAGTGTGTCTGACCGAGGACATTAAAATCTGCTCTCATCCAATCTTAACCAGAGAATACAATATTAACTATAGTTACCATGCTGACCATGAGGCCTGAGAATACTCTACATGCATTTTATACCTGAAAGGTTGTTCCCTTTGGCCAACATCTCCCAATATCCCTTAGGTCCCAGCTCCAGGAAACCACTGATTTTTACCCTAAATCTATTCAATATTGTAAGGTTCCACACATAATTAAGATCATACAGTATTTGTCTTTTGTTGTCTTGCTTATCTCAATTCATCTGTGTTATCACAAATGGCATGATTTGCCTCCTTTCTATGGCTGAATAATATTTCACTGCATTTATACCACATTTTCTTTACCTGGTCATCATGGGTGGGCACTTAGGTTGATCTCAATCTTGGTTGTAAATAGTGCTACAACAAATGTGAGTTCTACTTTTTTTCTTGAGTCTCCTTATTTCTCAATATCTGACTAAACCTACCTTGTACCATCAATAGTCTCCTAGCCAGTTTTCTCATATCTACTGTTGTTTCCTTCGATATGGTCTTCACATTTTAGCTATAAGATAATCATGGCCCATTTAATTCAGACCACAAGGTGCTATGTGGAGCTGCTGCAATACTAGAGACCAGCCAGAGCAGAGTGTCCCATGAGAGGGGAAGATAGTCACGGTGTATTGGAGCCCTCTCAGAGCGAGGGTCACTATGAGAGAACAGCCTGGCACAGGCAGGAACCCATGAGCAGTGAGCAGGGAATCTGCTCATGTGAGCAGTTTAGCATAAGCTGTGGAATCTCAGCAAGTATGAGAAGGAGGGCAACTGCACCAGGAAGAGACTGGCATTGGCAAGAAGAGATTAGAAACTGTGGATCTTAAAAAATAAGAACTTATGGTTTCACTGGCAGAGAAAAATGTCACATGTATGGAAAGGAAGAAATGTAGAATTAATAAATTTTGATTCCTGTAGCATTATATTGCAGTTGGAAGTACTGGTATAAACTCACGGTGTTATAGGTTAAGTTAGATCAAAATGAATATAGTCAGAAAGGGGCTGGGCTCACAAGGAAGTCGGTGAAAGGTGGAGACATCAGCATGTGGCTGAAGAAGGCAAGGCTGCAAGGTTAAAATCACAGTGGTGACACCTTCATACTTCCCTAAAAGACGAATGGAAATTTGAGATTATACTGTAGTTAGGACCACGCAGCCCATTAAGTTTAGCTACGCATCAGCCATTAGGCGGGTGACCTGAACACCTGGGACCAACTCTTCCTCAAAATGTTTCTAGTTCAGAAGTCAGAGGTAAGCTACGGTTAATGGTGTCAGGTGTACACCCTTGCTACGTGTTCCACTCCCCTACTGGATCAATATTAGCTAAGGGGCCATACTTGTGATCTTACTGGTTGATTACAGTTTGACCCACATTGTACCTTGAGATCTTTCCCTATAAAACATTCTTGGAAAAATGGGCCACTTTCAGAACCCCTTCTATCCCTCAGGACCTATTCCTGTTTCCCAATAAGCCTTTTCTATTCCTAGCCTATTATAAGGAGGCAATACCAGGAAGATTATAAGGAGAGCTATAGATAATATAGGGAGGGCTTTATATAGGAAGTAATAATCCTACTAAATAACCCTCTTTGCCTAGAATTCATTCTTCAATTTTAGCAGCCACAAACTCAGCACATCTGATATCTAGTAGGTTGGGAGTCACATTTCTCCTATACAGTTTTATATATGTAAATGTGAGCATTTTTGTATGTATATAAATACACATCTCCTATTTTTGTCTGTCAAGAAGCAACAGAAGGACTGGTGAGATAGCTCAGCAGACTAAGTGCCTGCTTTGGCAAGCGCAGGGCCTGGAGTTTGATCCCCAGTCCCATATACCGTGCCAGCTCCACTCCAGGGCTCATTGAACCTGCAACTGAGTCTGGGCGTGGTGGTGCACGCTTGTAAGCCCAGTACCAGGGAGGCTGAAGACAGGAGAATTACTACTAGTCTAAACTGTGTAGTGAGACCCTGTACCAAATACATAAATGAAAAAAATAATCCAGAAGGGGAAGAAGCAAGAGAACCCTGGTAATATGGACCATCACCAATACATAGACCTTGCTATCACGTACCTTTCTTTTGGTAAGACCTTCTCTAAATGCAGCACCCCAGCTGATCATCTCACATAATTCATTCTCACAGCACTATTTTCCCTGCATAAGTACAGATGTTTGAAAAGCTGACTATGTTCCCTATTATTTCATTTCTTCTGCTGAAAGATCACCACAGGACCAACATAGAATCTCCCAGAGAACAGGAAAGTCATGATAAAGTGCCTACCACATTCAACTTCTCTAATACTCTCCTAACTGCTCCCCTTTTCCCAGGGGAGTCCCCTCTGTATCCTCTCTACAATCTCAGGGGCCTTTTGTTTTAGAAATCTTCCTCATCACCCAAAAGATAGTCTGTGTCTTCACTGCGGCATAAAAAACTTCATTCTATATTGGTTGTTTTTTTGTTTTTTTTTTAAGGTAGCAGTTAATGCTCAAAATTTAACTTTCACCAATTTTACATGCTTGTATCTGTTAATCTGAGCAAGCCCACTGAAGACATGAGTGTGCAATGTAACAACCACTGTTGAGTACTTATCATCTTGTTTTTGAAATTGTGTATCATCCCTAATGTCCTATTATTTTTCTATTCTCTTTAAAATAAAAAAATTTTTAAATGCAGACTGGCCCCTGACTAATTCTCCAGTTGTCTGCCTTACGTCTTAATTAGAATTTTGTGGTTTAGAGTGTAGCATAATGATTACTCTTAATCTCTGGAGGAGGTTGTGTAGGTGTGAATCTTAGTTCTAACACACATCATCTCATTTTCATTCTACCTCCTCATCTTCCCTACAATATATTAGGAATCCTAATATCCGTTAATTCTATATAGTCATAAAATTTAATAACCCAATGCAATTTATAAGCTACAATTTATTTCATGTCACGGTTGATATAACCAGGTATCAGTTTCATCACATTTTCGCCTTTGATGCATTGCGTGAGCCAAATACTGTTTGCCCTTTGATTCTGTACCATTCAGGAGGTAAATGGTTAATATCCCAATTTTCCCCTTTAGAGGACTCGAAAATCTGGAAGTAAGGCTAGGATGCGCAAACGTTTGTTGACACGTGCAAGCAAAATTGAGAATATATGTTTTTCTTAAAAATACCCCACTGCCTATGCAGTTCTCTAGGCTGACGGTGAATCAGTGTAAGTGCTGATAAACTCCCCTTTCTCGCCAAATTTCTCCTTTCGACGAGCACCACCCACAAACCACACATCCTGTCTCGGTTTCCAGCGCCGAGGAGCGGCCCTCGGTTTCCCGTCACCCTGGCAACGGACCCCGGAAGGGGCGGGCTCCGCGGTCCTCCTTCCGCCGGCGGCCTGCGCCAGTCCCTCGACTAGGAGGGTGTGGGCTGCGCGTGCGGGCGCGTCCCTCAGACCCGGGCAGGACCCGGACCTGGAGCCGGATCCCGCGAAGGCCACGTCACCCTGACCCCGCGCCGCCCGCC